CATCAGACGAAACGCGGAATTACTTCCACTTCACGCCTGTTTTCTGTGTGGTCGTGGTATTGCACCGGGCGAGCCGGCCCATTCGTGCGAAAATGTTAAAGCGGGCTCTACCACTGTCAAATCAACTATTTTCACGCAGACCAAGTCGGAAACAATAGTAAGTATTTTTATAATTTAGAAAGGGGACCGGCCAGGATGCTAGACAGAAAAGACCATAGTTCTGTGAATTACAACACTTGTAACTCCTAAGGTGCTAAAAAGGATGTGCCGTAGAAACCTCGCTTAGAGCGCTTTTAGCGGTAAAACAGGTACCAAATATTACCAACTACAGTATTTTTGAAGATACTAGCTTGCGCCCGCGACTCCTTCCGCGTGAAATTAAAAAACAAAGCTGAATAGTCTATGTGTTCTTCCAGACTACATCTACGTCTATGCCAAAATTCATCGAAATCCGTTCAGCAATTTAAATTCAAACTCTAAGAAACATCCGTCCATCTAAACTTTCGTATCTATAATATTTGAAGATATTTACGAAGGCAACTTTTATAACACATTTTAAGTATCCTATTATGTAAATATATTAATTTTAAGGGATTTTTTCACTATACCTTGATCTACAGTTAATATCTTCTGCTGCAGGTCAGATATCTGCGCCTTACGCAGCACCAGGTCGTTCTCCAGCTCCGCCATCTTCTTTCTGTTAGCCTCGTCGTCTGTGCAGTTGCGGAGGTTCTCTATTTGCTCTGTTATCCACGCTCTGAAAGATTAAAAAATTAAAGGAACCGTGTTTATTTTGAATTTGTAAAAAATACTATCTACAACCTGGAATTAGAATTGATATCATAAAACTAAATAAAATTACCTGTACTCCATGAGTTCTTCTAGCGATTTCTCAGCTTCCACAATACTAAGATGCACTTCAAGCTCCTGTTCAATGTACTGCTGGATGGCGCCAGTTTTGACAATTCCTTTGGCGTTGCGTTTGAATTGCGACTGTTTCTGTCTGTCCAGAGCTTCCTAATAGAAACAATGTACACAGATTAGAGCAATGATGAAAGGACGGAGGGAGATGTGAAATGTATTGTGTGTTGTGTTGTGTTGTGTTGTGTTGTGTTGTGTACCTTGAGGCGCTTGTTGACGGCGACGGCCTCCTCCATCTTGCGCTTGAGCACGTTGCGCTGCTTCGCGTGCAGACACTCCATCTTTGCCATCGCGTTGGCACGTTTCTTGTCCTCGTTACGAAGACGCAGCATTGCGCGTTCATTGTCAGCCTTCCATTTACGGAATTTCTCACTTTCTTCACGCATTTGTCTGATGATTTTGACCTGTAATTATAATTTTCATATATACAGTAGGATAGCTAAAAATATGGCCTCAAAAAGCGAAATTGTGCAATGTTGTTATTTTTTCGTATAGGTTGTTTGTTGCCATATCGATACCTTTTGCATCGTGTATTTAATTTATTTCAGACAATTAAAATACGATGACACCAAGTAAATGTTTAGTGACCATTAAAGAACTCTGAGTGGGACAGTATGCTACAGTAAATGTTATATTTTTATTATTTTATTACACAATTCCCTTATCATGGAAGCCAGAGCCTTTAATTCTCTATTTAATTAATTTGCAACATTACATTTTTTATCTTATACAGTTACTTTCTTTTTACAAATTTTATTAATACACAAGCTAAGAGAAACAATAAATATTTTACCTTATTAGCTTTCATAGAGTGTAACTCTGCGTTAAGTGTGGCGATCTTGGCTTCATTCTTCTCTTTAGTTTTAATGATGTTGGCGAGCTGCTGGCATTTCTTCTTCAAGTCAGTTATCTCCGTCTCCAGCGCGGACACCTTCGTGCGACGCTCCTCGTGCGACGGGTCTTTACCCTAAACACATGGTATATAGTAAATACCTAGCTTTTGCTCCCGACTTCGTATGCATAAATACAAAATATAACTTAATGATAAAATAGCTTTGTAATGATGAAAGAATTTTTGAAATCAGACCAGTAGCTTTTGAGTTATTTCAATAAATAAAAAATACAAATAATGCATAATATAAGTATCCTTACCTTAGTCTGTTTCAGCTGCTGCATGAGCTCATCTCTTTCCTTCTCCAGATGTGCAATCTTCTCCTCATTCTCCTTCAGATTATTATGGCTCTCCATAATATCTTTATTACTAGCCAGTATAGCTTGAACCACTGAGGCTTTGATAGCCATAGCACTGTTTAATTCTTGCAATTCTTGATTTAATGCAACCTTAAATGATACAAAAATTAATTGCAAAATGAAGAATTTTTATACAATATTAGCTTTCGTCTGCGACTTTGTCCGCGTTGAATTTAAAAAACCCATTAGTAAGTAGCCTATGTGTTTTTAAAGACATGACTAGATTATTTATGACAAGTTTATCCAGATTGGTTGAGCCGGTTAGCCTAAAATCCATACATCCATACATCTAAACTTTCACATTTACAATATAAGTATGATTCTTTGTTTTATCTTACCTGTCCCATTGCTCGTTTCTGCTCCTCCATGACAGCCTGATCTTCATTAAGCGGGACTCCATCATCCACTTTCTCACTGTCATTCTCTTCTTTAATATAAGATAGTTTGATCTCATGGTCAATTAGTTCTTCATTAGTCTTCATATTAACTGATTGCAAATCTTCTAACCTACTCTTTATCTCTTTCAGATAATCAACAACACTGTTTTTGCAATCTTCATCGGGAACTTTATCTGTAGTACTCAAGTTATCTATAGTTTGATTGCATTGTTCTGTTAGTTCATTTAACTTTCTTTCTATCTTATCCTTTGCTGCTTCTGCCAGTAGCGCCTTTTCACATAAATTCGTGTTCTCGATTAATATATTGGTTAGATGTTCAGTCATTTGCTTGTGCTTCTTCAAGAGATCAGCATATTTTGCCTTCTCCATTTCTAACTCCTCCTTTAATTGCTCATTACTGTTTTCACTGACCGTAGGTAATTTCCCTACCAACTGGAGTCTCAGTTCATTCACTAAGTTGTTTAATCTGTAATATAAATTAGTTATAACAAACGACAGGTGCATGTATGAGTGTATGAGCTGGTGTATGAAGTGGTGTATGACCTGATGATCTCCGCGGCCTTGGCGTCCTGGTTGATGACGGGCTTGTTGCGGATGCGGCGCGCGCGGTCCGCGTAGCGCAGCGTCGACACCGTCTCGTCCAGGTTGTAGTCGGCGGGGCTCACGCACGCCACCATCATCGTCAGCGAGTTGCCGCCCAGGCTGTCTGCACAGCGTCACACAGAGTCACACAGAGTCACAGAGCGTCACACAACGTACACACAGCATCAGACACAACACATACCTTGCAGCAACCTCGTCAGCTTGCTGTCTCTGTAGCTGATGAAGCTCCTGTTGGTGCCGTCGCCCAGCGCAGATATCACGTTGCCCAGCGCCAGCAAACCTTGGTTTATCTTTACACCTTCTCTAAGTCTCTCACCACTCGCCTTTGTCTTTTTAATTCTCTCCGACCCAGCTAAATCCACAAAGTGAAACTTTGATGTGGTAGCAAGGTTTCTAAACGAAAAAATAAAAAAAATTGGAAGCAGCATATATATAAATGTAAAACCATACAATTTGAATATACACATTGTATTAAAAATTTTAATGCACTCACTTGTCAGCCTTACTTTCTTTAGCAACCACAATAGTGAAGACAGCATGACTTCTGCTGGATGCTTGGTTCATAGCAGTGGATCCCGTCACTCTGCCAATGGAACCCTTCTCCAACACCATCATTGTCTCCGCAGTAGAGGTAACCGGTAGCTCTGTGATACCTACAGAAAAATAAGTAATCTTATAAGAACTGGACATACCAAAAAACCATTAGATTAGAAATTGCTAATTAAGACAGATAACATGTCATAGATTTAATAGTCACTAAGGGACTCCCTAACTGCATGTATCTCTGTACTAAGGGAGGTCTGACTTGTATTTACCTGGCAAGTGTACACCTTTGTTGATATCCTCTCTTATGTCAATGACGCTGTGTGCACGCTCCTTGCCCGAAAGCAGGTCGTAGCACTGCTCCTGATACAGCTCCATGAATGAAACTGTCACTTTGAAACTGAACTTGGTCTCATTCACATCTATGAAGTCAAATATATCGGCAACTGCTTGGGGTATAACACCTGAAATTCAGAATTACATCATTCCATATATCTAGAGGAGACTGATTTTATAATGATTGAAAAATAGACAAAAATACTCCTACTTTTTAAAGATAAATTATCACTATGGGCTAGTTTTACAAATATTATTATTTTATCAGCCTTCATATACTTTGACAAGAAATACTTTTCCCAATAGATTTTAGTTTTAATTAATAAGATTTCCAACCAAACTATAATACTTTAGCACTTTGTAACATTTGACATAGAATAAGAAAATCTGTGGTACCTAAATTTGTTGAATCTCCTTCGGAGCCAGAGTAATTTGTACCCATTGTGTATGTTTTTCCTGATCCAGTTTGTCCATAAGCAAGTATTGTAACATTGTAACCTGTTAAAATATACAATTACATAGAATAAAGTTAAGCAACATTTATTTAGCTTTGAATGTGTGTTTTCTTACCTTGAAATAATTTTCTAATAAGACCTTTGACTGCAGTATCATAAAACTCTTGTTGTGTGATGTGTTGTGGAAAAACATAATTGTATGTAAATGCCAGCTCTTTTATCTGCACTTGTGGTTCACCGGGAACGACATCGATGCACTCATCACAACCTCTTTCTATTTCCTGCTGCATAAGTGGCCTAATCCTTAGTGCCACCTGAACCGTATCGATGGTATCCCTACTACTCTCTCCGTTCTCCATCGTTCCTTTTTTTTTATTCAGCTTTAACTTTCCAGGATGTTAACACACCTTTTCTTCCCTTATTTTTGTTGTCCGTCTACTGGTTTACATTCTTTACAATCTAATGTAAAGGCATTTTCAATATTTACTTTCCTTTTATAAGAAATAACTTATGCAATGCAATTTCCATACAATTACGGATTGCCAAAAATGATAGGAAAAAGAAACAAACGAAGTACAACAAAACAATATACGAAATAAGGAAAAGATCAAACTGCAAACAAGAAATAGGTTTTAAAAATTAACGGATCAGTTTAAAACTACACTTTTGAATAATCATTGAACGTTATCGAGTTACTGTGCTGCCATTATTTAATTTATCTATGGTCAACCTACAAAAAAGAATATTGTTTAAAACTATAATGCCTCTAAAATATATTGATCTAAATCTAAAGTCATCAGCAAGTCATCAGTTGCAACTTATTTCTAATCAGTTTGGTGTTAGGTACAACATGGGAGAATTTCGAAAGAAGTTAGGAATTTTTTGCTTACTGGTAACTTTATAAACTAGCCGGCGTCCCGCTGTCAATGTCAAAAAACTACAAAATTTGACTAGTTAACAAAAAGTTGAACATTCATCAAATTTCAAAAGCTTTAATTTAAAATTGTGGTTCTTTCTTATTTATTTATTTTATTGACTTATTACCTAACCATCAAAATGACTACTTGTCCTTTATGAAATAATCTTTTCTGCTAGTTATTAACCTGTAATCGATGTTTTTGTATGTAATTTTTCATCAAAGTTAATTTTTAAAGTAATTTACAGCTAAATTGAAATAGAATAAATATGCAGATATTCAGTTAAAAATACCTAGCTGGCTTGAAAATTCAAAATGTTTGTTTCCTTTCGCTGTTTTGGAATTTTTCATCAAATTCGACCGGTTCCGTCGATTGTTGAACGGCGAAAGAATCTCCATTGATTTAAAGCCAAAACAGAAGAGTATACTGAAATATCTATCATACCGTTTGAAAGTTTGTTGTTTTTCGAACAATAGGATAAATAGGGCTGCCACCTCTGCAGGTTTGACCCGAATTTTCATGTTATTCCAGGTTCGTTGTGGTCGGGAGCCACAACAAGTCACTGGATTTTATTCGTCATTCTCTAACAATCAAGTTTAGATTAGACCTAGATGTCGTTTTCGTTGCTAAGTTAAGTGTTGAAAAGTCACTAGTCGTCGCAGGTTTCGCCGCCAGTGTTCGTGTTTACGGCGATTTCAGCCCTAGGTATAGGCGTCACTTGAAGTGGGAAAACTATAAAAAATACTTCGAATTAGACTATATTAATAACTAGACCTAGCCTATATCATCGACTGGCGAAGCCTATGGCCATGGTTATGCAAGAAAACAATGACTGTTTTTCCGCTTTTAGGTATAAGAATGGTCCGTTTCGCCTCTATAATAAGTTTCTAACGTAATATTTATGACTAAAAAAGAACGGGCGTAAACGTCCGGGACTAGGATTGTGGATTTTTGAAATCTAGGTTTTTCTACGATGATTTGTACCGTATATTGTATTGGGTTTATGTTGTCTTATTCTTGTTTTTTAACACAAAGTTGGTACTAAATCCCATGTAAATTGTTTTTTGCGATATGGAAATTGGGACGCAAGCGATAATGCAAGATCCCAACCTTGAATATTAAGTTGTTGACTGCAAGTACTGTTTACAAATCCTTCGCAGGAATTCGATTTAAAAATATGACACCGATTATGATGGTTGTCAATACGTCATACTGGAAATTACAAGGGTCGTGGTCTTGATACGTATTGATAATGCAACAGTTTGATAGCGATTGAATCATGCGACCTCAGCTCCCGGAGTTTGCTGAGCCTTGGCCGACTTCGTCCAGACGTCGCACGTCATGCAAATGTTATATGAGCTGAAAGAAAGCCTGTGATTGATTCCCCTACTATTGGCATATCCAAGCTTCTAATACCATTAATTCATTATTTTTTTAATATACTTGACTAATTAGTAAAAGTGTATTTAGGCACCAATATCTTCATAGGTTTAATAAGAACTAAGCAAAACAAATGATTATTTATTCAAAGCGATATTAATATCAAAGAACATTAATTGTGATAAAGTAATACAAACATAAAAGATTCCTTCTGAGACTTGATCCAGATCTTAAATATATCCAAGTATCTGTTGCTCATTCCATAAAAATACATAAAAATCCTACGATCTAATAAGACAGATCAGTAATAGTCGCTATAAAGATTAAATATTAGTGGTTCCTATTACTCCTATTATTTATCTTTTTTACACTGTATTAATATTGGTTCGTGTTAAACAGTAGAGCGAGTTTGAATCGAAAATGTTTAGTAACGCTACGTTTCGCCACGAGCGAAGAAAGGCTCGGAAGCGCGCTTTCGATGTTTACGGGGAGAAATCTCGGACCGGTTGCGGCTTCGCCGAGCTCGTCAGTGTTGTTCGGTGCGCCGGTCTTACGTTACGTGTGTTCATTTCATTTAAAATACCTATAGAATACGTGTTAACATTTTTAAAATTGTCATACACATCAAGCGAAATCGATTTGTGTTTTACGCGTGTTTTAATCTGTGCCAAAAACAGTTGACAGTTGTATTTGAATTTGACTTTTCTGTTAGAAAGTGAGCTCGGAGTGTTTTTCTGCCAGCTACCGGTATGTTTTTAGTGTTATAAATTCATTTCGTTCGTTCAAGATGTTTAAAGTCCATTGCATCGTGTCATCTTCATTCGACTACGTTGTAGAAAGGTTTCTCTCAGTTTGCTTGCTTTTCACCTAGTTTCCTGCGTTGTCTTTAATATTATAGTTAGCCCACTGGCATCTACATACATATGTGTTTTACGGCCAGTTTCACTTGTGCTCGACGCCGATGATGATTAAAAAGTTTATTACAACACCTTTTATCCATACAGTTATATTTGCGATCTTATTATGTATTTTAGACTGACTTCCCAAAAGAAGGAGGTACTCAATTCGTATGTATTTTTTAAAAGATGTAATTAATTAGCAAAACATGTTTCTGTTTACGTTTAATTCTGTACACTTATTAGCCATGTGCTGGACTGAGTTACATATTTTTTGCCCATGTAATAATTGACAACAGAATCGTAAAAAATTCCACATACGAGTATTAAGTTACTTAGCATCACTTAAATAGGTAACATAACTGTAAGCAGAAATCACGTATTAGCGCGGTATAATAGTAGTAGTAAACATGCCGATACTTAATTTATTTACTTAATTGTAATTATTAATGTTTCATAGTTTTAATACAACAGTCCCGTACAATATGTACTGTTAAATATTATTCAATCAAACTACTCGTAATATAAATATAAATGCGAAAGTTTAGATGGATGGATGTTTGTTAGAGTTTGTAGTCTAAACGGCTCAACGAAATTCGATGAAATTTGGCATAGATATAGATGGATAGTCTGGAAGAACACATAGGCTATTTGCATTTGTTTTTTTTTAATCCGCGCGGACGGAGACGCGGGCAAAAGCTATTACGATATAACGGTTTGATACATTACTAAAGGAATGACCATATTGTAACCTAACAGTAATTTAAGTCTCGGGTCAAATCGCGTGATAATATTTTGTGTCCACATTTTAAACGCAATATATTTATTCTTAGAGATATGGTTGGTTTTATATTTAATTTTTCCATTTGAAATTACAGTGTAAAATTGCGTGAGATTTTATTTACTTGTTTTGAACGTAAGCAAAGGCTCACTTCAATATTTTGTCGAATTCCTGTGGCTCCTTAGTCGTTTTTCAACTGATCCGTAGATTTTAAAGGAGATGGAGGTCAAAAACGGATCGATCGTTTTAACCGCTTTTGTAATAGTTCGTTCAGAAGCAAGTATAGATTAAAAATGGATCGAGATCAATTATTGGGTTCGGCAGTTAGTCTACAAATATGAATCATAATGAACCTTATTCCTTGGTAACAAATGGTATTATTGCCGAGGCAAAAAAACTTGATTACAGCCATAACTCTATATCGAGTTGCTTTTGCGACGTACCAGTTAACACTTTCTTCGCCACGATGATTTTCCTACGAAAGTGAACTCTCAATGCCAATCAGTGGCACTTAACGTGTTAAGTATTATGGTATAAGAAATAAAATAAATAAATAAAATAAAATAAAATAATGTTTAATCCTTTGTCAACACTACCATTATGAACAAAAAAATATTAAACACAAAAAATGAGAAACATAACTAATGAAATGAAAAAAAAAAAGAAAAAAGGATATTTAAAATTAGCGTTGCAATGCTGACCGGATTGGGCCCTCGCTCAACTATAAATGCTGGATGCTCCTATTGAAGTACCAACGCTGATCTTCCGCGAGAACCCTTGGGATCATCCACACGTCAGTAGTAGAAGTGGATAGGTATAAATTATCACATACACATGAGTAAAAATAAAATGAAAGAAAAAATTCGTACATAAACATGTTATGAAATATAAAATGTATACAGAACTACAACACAGATTAAAAGAGTCATTATTGGAATAACACAAAAAGAATGTGCGCATAATATGTTAACTGTTTTAAAAGATAAAAACAACTTTTAAATACGCAGTGTTATGAGAAAAAAACGGGCATCTACTGGATAGGATTGCGTTTGCTTCCAACGCACGTTCGATCATTTACATAACACTACTGTTTACGCACCAAAAACTGTTAGGTACACCCGATCGGCCTGAGATTGAATTGTTATACGAGAGAACTACGCCGCGGCGTGCGAGAAATAAAAAAAGTTAAATGATCTCGATTGAATATAGTATCGTTTACATTTAAAAAAAAAATTTAACAAAAGTTTGTTTCTCGGATAATTTAAATATGAATTGATAACCTATCGACATGCATTCTCATAGAATATCAACATGAAGACAAATAATGAATGTTACTCTTATCTACTGGGGAAATGACGGGCACTTTATCTAACTGCCTAGCGAAAGCTTCTCAAATACTTTAATTATAATAAAAACGGTGACAGGAAAATGTGACCTTTAATTTGAAAAAAAAGGTATTTTTTGTTTATTATTAAAGATATTAGCTCTCAGAATCATGATTTAATCAATCATTTACTATAAGATTCTTATGTAAAATCTACACTAAGGGAAACCGTTATAACGTTTCTGAGTGCTGTAGTTGGGTGCATTGTCCGCTTAACCGGCTAGTGTACAATGTGTAAAGCACAATGTCGATAAGTTATGTAAGTTACAGTATGTAAGCTACTGTTTGTATGGTAAGTAGAATTTACTGCTGATGTGCATGTAAAGTTACACTGGGCAGTGGTTCTTAAACTTTTTTACCCTATTATATGTGTAGGAATTATATTGGGGAATTATACAATTTATTGACTACTAGCTGTTACTCGAGACTTCGTCCACGTGAAACAAAAAATTGAAAAAATACAGCCTATGTTATTCAGCGATAACGTAGCTTTTTAATAGTGAATTTTTGAAATCGGAGTAGTTTTTGAGTTATTTCAAAACATACAAAAATATAAATCTTTTCTTTTTGCAATATTAGTGTTGCGATAGAATTGACATTTGAATAGCTTTATTGTTTTTCTTTGACGCCGATAATTCTTAGAGTACTCGTGGAATTAACTTCGACTCATAATACGTACGGTATCTGTGAACAAAATTTGTTAGATTTCTTTTAACGCAGTTTGTTTTACAAATAATAAAATGTAAAGTATTTAGGTCGTGTTAAATCATTTTAAAACGTAAAGGTGTAGGTCAATTTGCAAATGTAGTTGAGTCAAAACTTTTTTATTGTTTAGAAGTTTCAGAAAGACAATGAATTTTGAGTTTTAAAATATATTAATTGTGTGAACACAGTGAACATACTGTAAAAATGTGCAGTTTTAAACGAGATTTTACGAAACAGAAAGCGTGTGAACTAGAAAACGAGATATGATTTGTAACTTTTTTTAACTTTCTAGATGCTAATGTGACTGGCACTCGCTGCTGACAACGCTCATTAAAGTTTAAAATAAATTGAATTTCAAATTGTAGAAAATTAACATATCACAAGAAACTATTATTAATAAAATTCAATCGATATTAAATGCTTTATTCATTTTTATATTAAGTAACTACTTGATAATTATCATCTATAGCGATTTATAAATGCACTTGATTAAAATCACATTTAATTCTTATTCCCTTTAAAATATTAACATATATTCCCTCGTGTCAAATGTTCCGTGGTAGAGCCGGCTTTAACATCTTCGCTTGAATGGGCCGGCTCGCCCGATGTAATACCACGACCACACAGAAAACAGGCGTGAAGTGGGAGAAAATCCGCGTTTCGTCCGATGAGGGTGGTGCCGGAAGCCTAATTTTTGTCCCTTTCCCTTTCCATCTTTTTCGTAAGAGAAAAGGATAGGATGGAAAAGTCGATTTGACGGTGGAGGAGACGCATACGAAGGGGAAATGTCCCCTTTTATGTGCGTCTTCTCCTCCGTCAATGAAAGGTAGGCAACGCATCTGCAATTGCAGATGTTTATGGGCAGCGGTCGCTCTCCATTTCGATGTATTCAGGTGGCCGCTTGCTCGTTTGCCACCTTATACTATAAAAAAGTGGACTACGCGGTTAGAAGTTGTTTATACCAAACAATAATGCATGATTTATTTTTTACTGTTACGGACCGTCTTTTACCGTGAAATTCCACAGCCTAATATTGTATTGTCTCGCTTTTTTCAAACAGAATAATAAGGATGACTATATGTCAATACAAGTACACGCCAGTCAAAACCTAACGTTCTATCAGTATACTGGACACGTGCGTTTTCAATAGCCGTTGACAGTTCGAGCCGTTCACTGGTCGCGAATTTATATGCAAATAGCGTACGCCGCTGGGTCGAGACTTGCCTAAATGAGGAATGAACCAGCCGGTCCCACGATGCCTATAATGCCTTCAAACTCTTGACCCTTGTATCTTACTATCTTGGAAGCTGATATACATGAAGTAACACTTTTCTTATCAAATTCAGAAGAAACTTAATAACTAGGTAGTTTATCTACCACGAACCTAACATTTTTTTTTAATTTTCGAGATTAACTTGATCAAAACACGATCTGCCAAAAATTCGTTTTAAAATTACTCGTTGTTACTACTCAATAGTAAAAACACCTCACAAGTATTCAGTTAAATTAAAACAGCACGCAACAATTTAAATGCCGCATTTCGTGTTAAAAAGTCCCAAAGTCGTTATAGCGGTGTGCATCTGAGTCAACAAGAAATTGCTTGCAAGTGTAAACGACCACATTGACGGCGCGACTGCGTCGTGTTTTCCGTGAATTCTATCTCGATTCGCGGAGAGATTTCTTGATGTACAATCGCGGAAGTCCACGCTGTTCCACTTAGAAAAGACTTTGTTCCTTGCAACGAGAAAAAATATTCCGTCTCTTCTTACAAATAACCAATTAAGTGGCAGTAAGTTACGTAAACGATAGGATAATACCAAAGCAATTAGTCGTGTACCGCTGACCGACCTTTTTTCGTCCAGACAAATTTATAAGCTGCGTTGTATTTGTTCCGCTTCTCGTTTCCGAAATGTTCAAAGGATTGGAGCTTTTAAGATAGAACATCGCCAGTTTGCCCGACTGTACAAGAGAATACACATGC